TTTTTCTAGAAATTCACTGTATAGCCAACTCTTTATTTGCATTTAGGAGCTCTGGTAGCATAGTGCCTAAGGCACTTGACTGCTAACCAGAAGGCTGTTGGTTCAAACCCACCAGCCACTCCTCAGAAGGAAGGTTGGGCAATCTACTTCCGTAGTGATACCACCTTGGAAACCCAAGGAGGGGTTGCCATGAGTCAGATCCAACTCGATGGCACATAACAACAACTACAATGTATGTATTTCACTGCCTGCTAGTGGGGATCACACAAAGAATACTTACCAGCTTCATTCCAATTGAAAACTTTATGATGGAAATTAAATGAATAATCTGGTAAAGTTTTAAGTACCAGGGATGAAATGCAGCATTCAGGACTATAGTTTCTAAGGTTTTCTTTTTTTAAAATTGCTCCTAACCTACCAAGATTATCAATGCCTGGCAAAGACAAGAGTCTACTGAGAATTAATTTTTACCCTTAAGTCTGAGAGTTTCATTTTGAATGGCAATAAATCAGATTAACTTTGGTCAGCATTAGTTACACAGATATAAATTGTTTTTAATGTTTTAAAATGTCTTACCATCTATATCTGCTAACTGCACATTTTCTGTGTGGTTCTGATAAATTGCGTGACTTTATTCCACTGATTAATTTTTGGGGGTCCATCTCATTTAATCTTCATAATGCTATAAATACTATTAATAGGAGGATTATTAGGTCTAACCAGATAGATTTCTGGAACTTTGCTGGAGATAAAACATGAAATTAACCTCAGACTAATACAACTACTAAATGTCATGAATTTAGTTTCCTCCAAAGTCATAATCAAAACAGCAGAATGATATGTGAATTAAGCTAAACTTTGGTCAAAAGCCATGTCTGGGCTAGGAAGTAGGTGCTGTGCATGTTTGAGTGAATAATGCAACAAATGAATTTTTAAATTATTATTTCAGGTAGCTAGGTGTTTAAGAATAGGATAAGCAATCTATCAAATCATGTGCATTGAATAAAAGACTATGTGATATGGATAATGCATGTAACAATCAATTAAAATTAAATATAAAAAAGTCACTATAGTCACATCTATAAAAAACTTTATTGTAGTTTGAATAACAAGCAAGTAACAAACTTTAGAGCGCAACAAAAAGATGAAATATCAAAATTATGTTCCCTACAAAAGCATTAAGTACAGTACAAAAAGACTGTTCATAATATTTTTTAAGTCTGTTTAAAAATATCAAGACATACTAAGATTTATGGAGTTACCTTTCCTTTTATCTAGAACACCTATTTTCATTAGCTTTGCTACAATGAAAACTAACATATATGAACATACATATATAATAAGTGACATGGAAAATGAAGGCATACAACCAACATTCCAATTAATTAGCAAGTATGAAGCATATAATTATTGTAATATTCCTGAAATTGTATTTTCTTTGAGTACACCAATCAGGTCCAATGAAACATTTTCTTCTAAAATATTTTAAATTGTGTAATATAATTTTAACTATTCCTAATGTAAGGATTACGCTTTCTTAGCATAATCATTAGTCTAATTTTAGAATCTGCTAATAAAATAAAAACAAATTTATCTTATTCAGAGGTGATATTCAAAACATATAACATGTAGCCCACAGACTTTAACCAATAAGCACAGTCACTGGCGTAAGTGACCACTATGGCAGTATTGTCCAGTCCAGCTGAATATCAGCCCTGTTTTCATTTCCAATGACCAATACATGTGTTGGCTAATGTAGAAGGATGAGTTATGAGATATGAAACATGAAATTCACACAGGCATGGAACTGAACTCAAATACTCTACTACATGGAGGCTAAATGTGAAACATTTCACAGTGACTAAGAATGACTGGCTGACAAGCACTAGTGTTTTTAATTTTATTCAGCTGATTTAAAACAATGGACTTAACAAGAAACCCTTGAGATTTAGTTAATGCTACTAATCTAAAGGCTCCAAATTATTGAAGAGCCTTTAAAAATCAGTACATATGACCTTTAACATATTTTTCCTTAAGGAAAAACAAAACACTGAGGTACTTTAGTTCCTTTTCAAGGGATTATTGCTGGTCATCTTCCTGAGATGCAAAAGACCATAAAAGAAAAGCACCATCCCAAGGTTGCTGAATGAGGCATCAGACACTAATAATTTGGTCCTTTCCTAAAGGGATCTCTTCCAACAATTACACTAAAACACAGTGATGGATCACAGATGCCAGGGGGTCCTGGTTGCCCTTGGATTCCAGGTTTTCCATGCTCTCCATCTTTGCCAGGAAGACCTGTGTCTCCAGGAGGACCTTCTTTGCTTATTCCAGGAGGGCCCTCTGGACCTAAGATGGGACATTAGCAACATATAAATGAAGTAGTTTGACTTTATATAGTGAAATAGCTGATTGAGAGAGAAATTTACACTGCATAAAAAAACTCCCTTGAAAATCTGACATACTTGCACCAATGTAAAAAGATGAATCTCTTGCTAATTCTACTTTTTGGTCAGTAGCCAAGACATAACCAATGTATCACCAGAACTCATTTTCATAAAATTAGACTAAGCTATATTAACACAAGGAGATCTGGTGGCACAGTGCCTAAGGCATTTGACTGCTAACTGGAAGGTTGGCAGTTCAAACCCCCAAGCCATTCTGCAGAAGGAAGATGGGGCAATCTACTTTCATAAAGATTTACTACCTTGGACATCTAATAGGAGTCACTATGAATAGGAATAACTCAATGGCAGTGAGTTTGGTTTTGGGTGTACTGACACAGCAGTCGTGTTACAGATTAAAACACTGAGTTAACATTCTAATATTCCAATGTGAGGGCTGTTCAAACTTCTTATTTTTTCCTTTTACCATATATTTTGCCAATACTATTTTCAATTAGCAGGTGACCTATACTGAACCCAAACCCACTGCCACTGAGTCATTTCTGACTCATAGATGACATATACAAAAAAAAAAAAAAAAACACTTCACTGCCATCAAGCCAATTATGACTCATAACAACGCTTTTTGGGTTTCTGAGGTGGTAAATCTTTACAGAAGTAGATTGCCCAGTCTTCCTTCCATAGAGTGGCCACTAGGTTCGAACCACCAACCTTCTGGTTAGCAGTCAAATGCTTTAGGCACTACACCACCAGAGTTCCTCATAAAAAAACTAAACTCACTGCTGTCGAGTCAGATCCGACTCATAGCAACCCCTCTTTGGGTTTCCGAGGCAGTATCTCTAGGGAGGGAGATCTGGTAGCATAGTGCCTAAAGCACTTGACTGCTAACCAGAAGGCTGGCAGTTCAAACCCACCAGCCACTCCTCGGAAGGGAGGTTGGGCAATCTACTTCCATAGTGATATGCCTCAGAAACCCAAGGAGAGGTCACTATGAGTTGTATCTGACTCAATGGCAAATAACAACAACAACAACATCACTATGGAAGTAGATTGCCCAGTCTTCCTTCGGAGGAGTGGCTGGTGGGTTTGAACCACTAGCATTCTGATTAACAGTCAAATGCCTTAGGCACTATGCTACCAGAGCTCCTATAGGTAAGGTAAAATTCTAAAAAGTCATTTTTGCACGACATTTGCTAAAGAAATGACTATGTTATACATTTTTGTTTCCAAATCTAACTACACTGTTATTATCACAGTATAATAGTTATTAATACAGAGAAGAGTTTTAGTGCTAATTTGTTAATTGAATCAATTAACATGTGAAAGGATAGGAGAGTTGACTTAGGACATTAGTCTTTTAAAATTGATTATGCAATAAAAACAAAATATTCAGATTTTGGGATGGAGGGGAGGGGTTGGGGCACTTGCTACTACTTCTAATAATATATGTATGTTAATATAACAGTGTCAACATTAATCACTTATGTATAATGGTAGGTATTATTTTAAATGTTTTACATAAACAGTATTAAATCACTTGTTCAACCCCAAAGACTAATAAGATAATAATATCTAAAATAATAATAAAAGCAAACATGTATCAAAACATAACTATGATTGGCACACACTGTTCTGAACAAGCTATTCACATTTACTCTGTCAATAATGGCATGATGAAGGTAACATCATCACCACCATTTTACAAATGAGGAAATTGAACCATGACAAATTTAAATAGCACAGCTAGCAAAGCTAAATCTAAACTTAAGATTGCTTCAACATTATTCTGCTTCTCTAAGAGTCAAAAATATTAAACAATGATATAACCTGGTGGCACTGTAGTTAAAGCATTGACCACTAACCAAAAGGTTGGTGGTTCAAACCCACCAGTTGGTCTGTCAGGAAAGATTAGACAGTCTGCTTCTATAAACATTTACAGCCTTGGAAACCATATGCAGTAGTTCTATTCTGTCCTATAGGGTCACTATGAGTCAGAATTTACTTGATGTCAGTGTGTTGTTTTGTTTTTTTTTAAATGTACTCTAGATAACCATGGGTCACTAAAACCTATTTGAAACAATTCTAAGGAGTAGATATTGTTGTGTTGTTGTTGTTATTTGCCGTCGAGTCGGGCCTGACTTATAGCGACCCCTCCTTGGGTTTCCGAGGCAGTGTCACTACGAAGTAGATTGCCTAACCTTCCTTTTGAGGAGTGGCTGGTGGGTTTGAACTGCCAGCCTTCTGGTTAGCAGTCAAGTGCCTTAGGCACTATACTACCAGAGACTGTATAAAAGATATGCAAGAAATAATCCTGAAAAATTCATAAATATATTGAAATAATTCTGGTAGTTAGAGTTCAAAATAATATAAGTTGAATGTGAATCACTCAAAAAAGTAAACAAATATCTTGGTTTCAAATTATCTAACATAGCTTTATGATGAATTTCTTACAGGAAAATATGCAACAACTTAGGAGGAAATACCAATTCTTACCTGGGGGACCAGGAGGGCCTTGTTCTCCAGGGTATCCAAACCCTTGGTTCCCTTTTGCCCCATTTCTCCCTGGTAGACCTGCAGAGTGTCAAACATGTGCGTAATCTTACTTTTCCTTTAAAACCATTGCCTTCCAGATAGTTTCAAAACTGTTAATATACACATTGAAGGAAAACATATTTTAAGAACAGGTTGCCATCTATTTTCTATGACTCATGTTGTTTTTGTTATGTGCCATTGAGTCAGACCTGACTCACAGCGACCCATCCTCGGGTTCCCAAGGCGATATCACTATGGAAGTAGATTGCCCAACCTTCCTTCCGAGGAGTGGTGGTGGGTTTGAACCACCAGCCTTCTGGTTAGCAGTCAAGTGTCTTAGGCACTACTCTACCAGAGCTCCCTTATGACGCATAGGAAACAATTTTTGAATCAAATATTTCTAAAATTATTAGTAATCTAAATAAAATGCTTAATGGAAATTAGATATTAAGAACAGGAAATGGTTTGGGACTATTAGCCTTCTATGTTAATTATACTTGTTATTTTACTACTTTCATTAAACCTCTAAATTGCTTATATAAATTTATTAGATGAAATAAGAGAAGAATAATCAACAACATTTCACATAATCATTCAAAGGCAAAGAGAAGAAGTTGTGGGCTATTAAGTAGTTTGGTTGCATAACATTAATTTCTTTATATTAGAAAAAAATTTATGAAAAAATGTAACTGTACAGAAAGTTGACCAAAGTCAGAAGAAAGGAAACAATGTCAGTGATTTTCCACTTAAAAACCTTATTAGACACAAGCAAAATTTCAAAGCACATTTTCAATGTTTTGTAATTTTTAATGACACAGGCTTCCAAACTGACATTTCTGTCTACTTACGAACATTGCTTCAAGAAAATAGAACAAATGTTCTTTAATTCAATTGACAAATTATTTAAAGACAAAGATTTACAAAAATTTTTAGCTAGCTCAATACATAATACTATCCATGAAAGCAAAGATAAGCTTTCACTTGTTAAATGCACACAGGATATAAACATGCAAACTTTTTGTTGTTCATTTCCTTATTCAAACCAATTAGTACCTTTCAAACCTTTTGCACCTGGGTGGCCAGGAGCACCCATTAGACCAGGAACACCATCTCTTCCTGGCAAACCAGGAAATCCTCGGGGACCTTCTGGTCCTATGGGACCAGGTGGCCCAGGAATACCTGGAGAACCATGATGGGCCTGACAATGATCACAATTTTGAATTCTTCCACTCCGAAGTAAGACTGGTAGCTGGGCTTTTAAAAAAAAAAAAAAAAGAAAGAAGGAAACTTCAAACCTTTTATGATTAAATGGTAAGTGGGAATCAATAATATAGAAAAAAAGCTATGTTGGGTCATTGAATATGCACACATCTTTCAGTCAATAACTTTACTTCTAGAAATTTAACTATGGAAATAGTATGATTCTCTGCAATATCATTACTATAATTATTTAAAATAGGAAAACAAAAATCATCCAAAGTTCCCCAAATAAGATATAAATTACAGACACTCATATTTATAAATTATCAAGAATTATGTGACAAAATAAAATTTAATTAAAGGTGAAATAATAATTATAAACTGCATTGTAAAAAGTATTACAAAAAATATGTATAATACTTCATCTTTATAAGAAATTTATCTAGGAAAAAATGACAAGGGATTTTAAATGTTTCTTATTTTTCTTCTTTATTCATAGCTTCTAGAATTTATACCAAGAATATGTATTACTTTATTTTAAAAAGTGTAGTAAAAATTCTGTTTGTCTTACCTCTTAATACATCATTGCAAACTTGTCGAATAAACTGTTCTGAAAATTCTCTCCCCTGCATCAAACAATCAGGGGTTATAACATGTACATACAAACTAAAAAGCAATAGAAATATGAAAACTATGGAAGACACAATATACGTACAGGCTTCCCATCCAATCCTGGGGGGCCCTGAGGACCTGCTTCCCCCTGTTGTCCTTTGGGACCCATAGGCCCCATTGAGCCATCCATCCCAGATTCTCCTTTTGGTCCAATGGCACCTCTGAAACCAGGTTCTCCCTTTTCACCTGTCTAAAACCAAAAGAAATCTTTAAAGATCCTATTTAAATATTTCAGAAGGTTTGATTACATCACAAATGTCCTTAAAGCTACGGCTATGGATATATACATATACATATATGTAAGCTGTATAGTAAAGAGATGAGAAATACAGCTATTGATGAGGAGGGAAATGTCATATCATACTAACCTCTCATTTACCCTTCCATTCATACATTCATCCAGTTCTGTAAATGTCCACTATTTATTAAATATATTGATAGGCAATATGTGGGAGCTCTGGTGGCATAGTGCCTAAGGCATTTGACTGCTAACCAGAAAGCTGGCAGTTCAACCCACCAGCCACTCCTCGGTAGGAAGGTTGGGCGATCTACTTCCATAGTGATAACGCTTTGGAAACAGAAGGATGGGTCACTATGAGTCAGATCCGACTTCACCACAGTGAGTTTTTTTGAAGCAATATGTACAGTGCCAGAGATACAATAAAGAATATGACACAGTCCTGTTGTCAAGGCACTAACATTCTAGTGGAACAGAGAAGTATGGAAATACACAATATTCTTCACTGAAAAAAAATGCAGAAAAAAACTAGTTCCCAATCAAGAGGAAGAAATAATATTGGCAAATACATAACATTCCATACTTAATTCAATTAGTGAGAGAGTAAATACACATATTCTGCAAATCACTAATTAAGAAATACTACTAAAGAATATGAAAGAAATTTTCTGTTTTAAAATGTAAATAGCTATATACTGGGAGCTCTGGTGGTGTAGTGCCTAAGGCATCTGACTGCTAACCAGAAGGCTGGTGCTTCAAACCCACCAGCCACTCCACAGAAGGAAAGTTGGGCAATCTACTTCTGTAGTGATACTGCCTGGGAAACCCAAGGAGGGGTTGTTATGAGTCAGATCTGACTACACAGCAGTGCATTGCGTTGGTTGCGTTAGATTTATATCATATTGAAAATCCAATCAAAAAGGACTGAAGATCTCTGACTAGGACCACAGAAGGTCCTAGATAGAATGGGAGAAAAATGTAGAACAAAATTGAAAATCATTTAAAAAAAGAAAACAGACTGGCAGAACCCCCAAGACTGTGACCCTAAGACATCTTTCAAACTTCAAACTGAACCCATCCCTGGGGACGATCTTGCAGACAAATAGTAGGCAGGCCTACACTTGTCAAGAACATGCTCCTCAGAAGAACCATAAAATACCAAAAGGAGAGCATCTGCCCCTAAAAAAATGCTCAGAAAGCAGGAAGGGGCAGGAAAGGGCAACAAATGGGTCCAGGGAACCCAGAGAAGAAGTGGGACCAGTGCTGTGACATTGAGGGAATTGCAACTAATGTCATGAAACAAATGTGCATAAATTCCTGAATGGAAAACTTTGGTCTGCAAGCTTTCACCCAAACCACAATTAAAAAAAAAAAAAAAAAAAGACTGAAGAAAGGGAGCACAAAAATAAAGAAACATACCTCTCCTTTTGCACCATGATGGCCTTGAATTCCCTTTGAACATAGGAGGGAGGAAAGAAAAAAACTATAATAAATGTGAAAACTACAGTACTAGTACTATGATAGGTGCCCTTTTACCTCACATTTAATCAAGTTTTAATTTTGAATTTTGGAAAATATTGATAGAATTAGTAAAGGAATTACACATGTAAGAGACCTTTTATGCCTTTTTAAAGGAGTCTAGTATGGGGCAACTCGATGGCACATAACAACAACAACAACAGTGAATATGCAGTATGTTTGCTGAGTAATATAAAAGGACAATATAACATTGTTAATTTATAGAGCTAGTTCATTCATAGCTAAGAATATTTACATAGTCTATAGATCAAATCTGTGGAAGGAGGTGATGTAGAAGCTCAATATCACCAGTTAAAACAAGGCCAGGATCTGACTATGGAACAGACCATCAATTGCTCATATGCAAGTTCAAGTTGAAGCTGAAGAAAATTAAAGCAAGACCAAGAGAGCCAAAATATGACCTTGAGTATATCTCACCTAAATTTGGAGACCATCTGAAGAAAAGATTTGATGCACTTAACGCCAATGTGAAGACCAGACAAATTGTGGGATGACATCAAGAAAATCATACATGAAGGGTCATTAAAATGACAAGAAAGGGAGAAAAGACCAAAATGGATGTCAGAAGAGACTCTGAAACTTGCTCTTGAATGGAGAATAGCCACAGCAAATGGGAAATAAAAATGATGAAATAAAAGGGCTGAGCAGAAGATTTCAAAGGGTGGCTCAAGTAGACAAAGTAAAGTATTATAATAACATGTGCAAAGGCCTGGAGTTAGAAAAACAAAAGGGAAGAACGTGCTTGGTATTTCTCAAGTTGAAAGAAGTGAAGAAAAAAAATCAAGCCTCAAGTTGCAATGTTGAAGGATTCTATGGGCAAAATAGTGAACAATGCAGGAAGCACCAATGGGTCAATGTTCAACCATTTCAGGAGGTAGCATATGATCAAGAACCAATGGTAGTGAAGGAAGAAGCCCAAACTGCACTGAAGGAATTGATGAAAAACAACACTCCAGGAATTGATAAAACACCCATTGAGATGTTTCAACAAGTAGATGCAGAACTGGAGGTGCTTACTCGTTTTGCCAAGAATTTTGGAAGACAGCTTCCTGACCAAGTAACTGGAAGAGAAAGATATTTGTGCCCATTCCAAAGAAACGTGATCCAACATAATGTGGAAATTATTAAACCAAACATTAATATTACATGCAAGTAAAATTTTGCTAAAAATAATTAAAAAATAGTTACAGTAGCATACTGACAGGGAACTTCAAGAAATTCAAACTGGATTCAGAACAGGATGTAGAATGTTAATGTCACATGGATCTTGGCTGAAAGCAAATAATAACAGAAAGATGTTTACCTGTGTTTTATTGACTATGTGAAGGCATTTGACAGTGTGGAACATAACAAATTATGGATAACATTGAGAAGAATGAAAATTCCAGAACATTTAATTGTGTTCATGAGAAACCTGGACATAGACCAAGAGGCTGCCATTAGAACAGAGCAAAGGGATACCGCATGGTTTAAAATCAGGAAAGATGGGCAACAGAGTTGTATCATTTCACCATACTTATTCAATCTGTATGCTGAACAAATAATCCAAGAAGCTGGACTATATGAAGAATAAAACAGCATCAGGTTTGGAGGAAGACTCATTAACAATCTGAGACATGCAGATGACACAGCCTTACTTGCTGAAAGTAAAGATGACTTGGAGTACTTACTGATGAAGATCAAAGACTAGTCTGGATTGCACCTCAATATAAAGAAAACAGAAAATCCTTACAACTGGACCACTAAGCAACATTATGATAAATGGGAAAAGATTGAAGTTGTCAAGGATTTCATTTTATTTAGATACACAATCAACACCTATGGAAGCAGCAGTCAAGCAATCAGACATCATATTGCACTGGACATATCTGCTACAAAACACTTCTTTAAAATGTTAAGAAGCAAAGACATCACTTTGAAGACTAAGGTGCACCTATCATTAAACCATGGTATTTTAAAACCTTATGTGTATGTGACAGCTGGACGAGGAATACAGAAAAACAAAGAAGAGTTGATGCCTTTGAACTGTGATGTTGATGAAAAATACTGAAAATACCCAGAAAAATGATCAAATCTGTCCTGGAGGAAGTACAGCCAGAATGCTCCTTAGAAATGATCATGGCCAAACTGTTTCACCTACTTTGGTCATGTACTCAGAAAGGACCAATTCCTAGAGAAGGACATCATGCTTGTTAAAGTAGAGGGTCAGTAAAAAAGAAGATCCTCAACGAGATGGGCTGACACACTTGCTGCAACGATGAGCTCAAACAGCAAGAATTGTAATGATGAAGCCGGGGATCACTATGAGTCAGAGCTGACTCAGTGGCACCTAACAACAACAACATAGGTCAAATCATAAGTTAGAATTTGATTCTACTGAACTTAAAACATATTATTATCTCAATGAAAAAAATTAGATTAATGATAAGAGATATTTATTCTTTTATTCTGTGATTAAGAAGAGTAGTAATTTTCCCAAGATTGCATTCTGAAAATTAAATTTTAACTGACTGCTGTTGATAAAAGATGAGTAAAAACTAAGATATCATTAAAGGTGACAGCCACTCCTCGGAAGGAAGGTTGGGCAACCTACTTCCGTAGTGATACTGCCTCGGAAACCCAACGAGGGGTCGCTATGAGTCGGGGCCGACTCGACGGCAAATAACAACAATAAGGAAGAACACAGCTATTTTTCCTGGTAATTAAGAGATTAAAGAATCAGTGTGATGGATATATGGTATTTTTTCACAGTAATAAAAATATTGGGAGCCCATACGCAAAGCTCATATGTCATTATAATCACTGGATAGATCTTGATAATTAGACTAGTTCATCCTAATATTTACTTTTCATATAAAAATCACAGACCCCATGAAATCATTTCCTATTCCTCTCTTTTACATATTCATTCCAGTGACACGTAACTAGTGATAAGAACTCTCAAGAAAAAGTTAAAAAAGTTATTAAAAGTTTCCATTTTTCAAATTTCTTTTACAGTAGGACTTTAAAATCAGCTTAGGGGAACACAGATAACTGTCACATACACAGTTAGGATTTCATTATTTAGCTTTAAAATTAAAAATCAGTGTGCTACAGCTCAATATGAAATTTCATGTATAAATTGTCACAAAATGAAGTCTGAATTTGGGTATCTGCTTTGATTAATTTTCAAGTCCCTTATACAGAATATTAGACAAAATAAAGAAAAATTAGGTGAAATTAGTGATTATCACAGAGAAATATAGATTCTCAAATCAAAATGTGAGCATAAAAACACCAAATATTTAGTTTGCATATAAAAATCTAGTAGTAAGCACAACACTGTCTAAGGCTATTCTTTACATATTGAGATTTGTTTTTGAAGAAATTCAGGGAGGATCCCTAGCAGACAATCCTACCACTGAAGTCAATGTAAGAGGAAAGAGAAAACAGTAAATGCTCAAGACTAGAACTAAATTAGAGCTGAAGCTGCAAACAGCAGCAATTTGAGAAACCATTAAAATGGTTTTATGAGAAAAGTTCACTTGGACTCCCTTCACAAAATGTCCAAAAAAATTACACACGTGTAGCACTGGATAACAGACTTTGCTTACATAAAGAGCTTGGAATGACTATTGAGCTACAGAAAAGCAACAGCTGCTCTTGCCCCTAGATACTCCGTATAGGCTCAGTTCCTAGTGTAGGACACACAGCTTCCAAAAAATGTAGGGCAGAAGCTTTCTAGGCTCAAATTTGCCTTAGGAGAGCAGATGCTCATTTTCCTTAAGGAGTGAGGGGAAAAAAGTAAATAAGTTAATGGAACTTTGGAGGAAGTGTCACCTATATGCTAAATTGTGAACAGAAATTCTAATGGAAATAGCCCCCTTTTCAGAATGCTATTGTGACAGCAATTTTTGGTGAATGGCTTGGGTTTTGAAGGTTGAATTAGAGGAAGTAGTAAAGGAGCTCCTATGAGAACAACTATTTATAGATATCAGGTGATTAACTTAAGGAAACTGAAGTATGTTAGGAAGAAGGTCAGGCTAGGTTGCTAAGGGGAGGAACAAGGGCACAGAGTTGATTGAGTGGGGTTTAGTCAAGTGGAAGAGCTCTAAAATTGAGATTTTAATGTACTGGGATATAGTTGCATGCATGCCAATTCATGTCTTTTCTCATTTTTGCCCTTATATTTGCTTCTAAATTTTCCATCCTTCTTATATCTCACACTCACCTTCCATTCTATATTATAGACAACCTTGTGTCGATATGCTCTCAAATACTCTCCCCAGGGTCTTTCAGATACTTCCAAGGGAAGAGACACAGAGACTTCAATCCTTGGGGGCTTTGGTACACAATTCCTGAGGACAATTTTCTGTCCTCAGAATTGGTGTCATTACTGCATCTTTCTCTCACCCATACTCAGAGAAAGAGATCCACCTATGGAAGAGCAGTTTGTACGCTTATCTAGTTAATCAGAACCAAATTAGAACTGAAGCTATAGGCAAAGATGCCATATCAGTATTAATCATTTAATCCTTTTTTGACCCAATTAGCTCTGACTGACTATATGTCTATATGACATACAACAACCTGACTGAACCATTGCTTAATGAGGAGAATTTAGCAGAACTTCAAACTGATCATTCCAGTTCAATCAAGGTCAATGAAGCAAAATTAGAACAGACTAGAATTTTTTAAATGTGGGTGAAGTTGAATGACAATGGGAATGGGAAACACTATGGTTCAAAGCCCTGAAATGGGAGATTTGGGTGAAGGGTAGTGAGCACTTTCAGAAGCCTGATGCACAAGATTGGATTACCATCAGGACTGTGGAGAGTGACATATATCAAAATAGCACAGTTGGCCACCATCTTTGAGCAGGACAATGTTGCTTCTGACTGTGTTGATTAAGAGTTGGTTGTTATACAACACACATGCTGCCTTTGTTTTCTAACAGGGTGATTACGTTTCTAGCAGGGTATCCATCTGTAATTTTTCACATTCCTGTTATCATCATGGCTTACCCACATTTCACAAATTCAGTTCCATTCTGGTTTCACTTCATTGGCCATGACTGAACCAGGAAGAACTGGTTCAAAGCCCTGGAATTTAGTTAGGGAAGAAGCAAAAACAGCCTGTTATATATCTGTTCCACAGCACAATATTGCAGGAGGAAATTTTAATAAGCCTCTAGAGTAGTTAATAATATCTCTGGACAAAAAAAGAGGTAATCAAATACATTTCTGTATAAAATGTGGCCCCACTGTTGACATTTCAGGAAGAAAATAAAGACTAAACAGCAGGTGTGGAGATGTAGCCATTGTATTCTGCTTTTACACAATAATTACTCCAAGAAATGAGTAGAATTTTCTACCTTCAGTCATTTACTTGGCCAGAAAAAAAGCAATGAAAATCATAATGCCATAGCCATCAATTTTATTAGTACTAAAGAATCAAAATACAAAAAAAAAGGGGAAGGAAAACCCATCACTACCACCACCCAGCATTTTCATGTTGCATGATCATAATTTATATCATTTCTTTCTTCTTTTCCTCTCATTCATTTTATTTGCAGTTAACTCTCTCTCTCTCTCTCTCAACATTGCCCAGTTATCCAACTCATTATTTCATTTTTTGTCAAAGAAAAAAATACCTGTTGCCCTGGAATTCCTTGTCTTCCATTTTCTCCCTTTTGACCCTTTAAAATTTAATAAACATTATCAGTGAATTTGTATACATAGGATGCAATCATCTCTACAAATACAGACTATCTATCATGCTGATGTCTAAAAGACATGTCACAACAACAGTGATGCAAGTTTGTAAAATGATGTGAGAGATAGGTAAGTTAGTCTCTCAGAGAAAACAAAGAAATGAAAGGCAAGTCAACCCATTACATTTGAAACGAATAGAAACAAAGAAAAACTACTGACTCATGGAGAACATGTGCATAATTTTAGATAGCAGAGAATGTTCTCTTTAGTTCCTACCAAACACATGAAAATAGCTTAAAACTCTAATAAATGTGGACATTGTATTAGTTTCAATGACATAATTATGCTCATGTTGGCCTGGAACAAGTGAAGACAAAAAACCTCCTTTAAAAATTTCTTTAAAAAAATTAAAAATATATTGCTACATTAAATAAGACATATTTAAATGAAGTTCTTCAAATCAAGACAAATAAGAAAAGAGAAAAATTTGTAACAATATACATACATTTATCCAATCAATAAACATTTTTGCACATCAGCATATATAAGACATTATGCTGGTATCCCAGTGTTGAACATGAAAATGAGCAGTGTCTAATAAAACATAATATGTTTCGATAAAATACCCCACAATAGGTTTATTGTTGTTAACTGCTATCAAGCCAGCCCCTGACTTATGGTGACCCTACATGTTACAGAGCAGAACTGCTCCACAGGGTTCTCTTGGTTGTAATGTTTATGGAAATAGATCATCAGGCTTTTTCTTCCATGGAGCGTCTGATTGGTTTGAACAGCCAACCTTTTCAGTTATCAGCTGATTACAAAACACTTGTGCTACCTACCCTCCCATAGAAGTTTTAATGACTTAAATTTAAAGTCACTCTTACATTTATTTGTTAATTTACTCACATAAATGAATTTCTAATATTATTCAGTGGCACATATATGCTAGCACTCAAAACTCACTGCCAGGGAATCCCACCACTAGGGACATTTAAACAGAGATATCACTGCTACCTCCAAATTGCTTACTGTTTGGTGGAGACAATAAGCAATTAAATCACGAATGATGAAAATACAGTCTGATCAACATAAATAAACTAAATGTCTGGGTGGGATACTGTGGGAGGAGACAAGGGAACATCTGACAGGGAGGGTTTGAGAATATAACTGATGCTGAGCACAGCCTTGAAAAAGAATAAAAGATAGCCAGTTGGAGAAGGATAACAGGATGCACCATGGAAAGAAGACACAGGGGAAAGGAAAGTGGCTCCTTTTGGTTTACAGAGGTAGACATTTTATCTCAAAATGTGCTGGGCACCATAAAAGGATTCCTAAGCAGATATGTAAATTAGCTATTGCATGCTGGTGAAAGTATGGGGGAAGGAAGAGGACTAGATTCAAGGAGACCAGTTATGAGGCTATTGTGGTAATCTAGGAACCCCTAATAAGAAATGATGAGGACAGGGAGGAGGAGCCATGTTCAAGAGATATTTAGGGTTGACTGATCAACTGGATGTGAAAACAGAGAGACATGGGGTTTTACAATGACAGCTAAGACTTTCTCTTGGATAATGTGGTAGTTCCAATTATAATAACCTCTGAGTAGGAGATGGTTTATGGGGAAAGACAGCAAGTTCAGTTTTTGACATGGTGAATTTGAAGTGCCCATGAGACATCCAAATGTAATACCAAGAAAGAAATTGTAATATACTTAAAATTTACCTCATTCCTAATTTCAAAATTAACTTTAAAGGTATCACATTACAATAATACTTGAAGATCTTCAATAAAACATTGTCTGAAAAACAACCAAATTCTGTCATGCCATTCAGTAGAGAGTGTTGGAACTATGACATTAGCAGATTCTGAGCAATGCTTACAGAACGTCTAGAATTTTCAAAATTCTATCTTTGTGAAATTTTGCAAGGTATTTTTCTTGTTATTTTAAGTTTATTCTACATAGCAAAGCTCAGTAATTATAACAGAGCTTTGTAATTAAAAAAAAAAATCATTAAAGTAATGCTTGGATACTAGATTTGTAATCTGTAGTTTGAGAAGCTTTAAAGAAGAACCAATATAATTTATTCCAAATAGGCATAACTGACTCAGCCAGTAAAATCCTACTGATGGTCAGATGTCAGTTACACAGAAAATCAATTCCATAGCCACTTAGTTGAGGGATCTGTCCTACTCTCCCAAAGTAGAAGCATGGTTCTTATTTTTATCTGTGTCTGTAAGGCAACCAAAACAAAATGTCCTGCTAGGTTTCCTCAGTCTTATATGACTTTCTAGGATAATTCTCCTTCCATATGTAGTTTGAGTGTGTTTAATATTCTGTGCTAATGGTTTCTTATTGAATTCATATATTTTTTTCCATAAGCCACTTCAAATTATTTTTGTAAACATATGCTCTCACTTTTGGAAACATTATAAATAGGCTAATACAATTTAAAAGTATCAGTATTAAACCCATTATCTTTACTTAGATATAAAAAGAACTAAACTCACCGCTATCAAGTAGATTCTGACTCATGGCGACTCCTCCTTGGGTTTCCAAGGCAGTATCTCTATGCCTAGTCTTCCTTCAGAGGAGTAGCTGGTGGGTTTGAACCACCAGCCTTCCGGTTAGCAGTCAAATGCCTTAGGCACTACACCACCGGAGCTCCTGTCTTACTTATAGATTGGTGAATTACTTGGTTCACAAATTTTTTACCATAGTAAAGTGGTGAAAAATCTTAAAGTTAGATATGAAGTTGTGTGAAAAAGTTACTAGCAAAGGAACAAGGATGAGATTTTAAAATAAGATATTGATGTTGAAATAGGAAGGAACTGGGAAGCAATGTAAGAATCAAAAAGAACAAAGTCCTGACTATGCTGCTATGGAAAAAGAAAAAAAAAAAAAAAAACATACCTGAATGCCTTTTTCACCTTGTTCTCCTTTGTCTCCCTGCAAAACATTAAAAGACATCTAAATGTTTTCATAGATTGGTATATTTTATATCCTTTCAAATAAACATGTTTTCTTCAACAGAGAAAAAATATAAGGTCTTGTGTAATTTCCACAAGTGCCGGCATATACAGAAGCTGAGACTTAAGACATATTTGGGAAAAGAGTAAAACCACGTTATGACAAAATGATATTCTAACAGAATACTTTCTTGACCATCTGTGAAAGAAAATTTACCACAATATTTATTTTGCCAGGAAAAAAAAAAAAAAAAAACACTTCTGTGGTTAAACAAACAAACAAGAGAGGACTTATGCTGCTGGAATGTTGTTTTAAAAAAAAAAAAAAAAAAAACACTTCTGTGGTTAAACAAACAAACAAGAGAGGACTTATGCTGCTGGAATGTTGTTTTATGGAATAAAACAGCCAAACTGAAAATCATCCGTTAAATTAATAGTACCCACAAGTTATAGAAAACAATTGTTGTTGTTGTTGTTGTTATGTGCTGTCGAGTCAGACCCGACTCATAGCGACCCTTCCTTGGGTTTCCGAGGCAGTATCACTACGGAAGTAGATTGCCCAACCTTCCTTCTGAGGAGTGGCTGGTGGTTTGAACCACCAGCCTTCTGGTTAGCAGTCAAGTGCCTTAGGCACTGCACTACCAGAGCTCCTAGAAAACAATAGCAAAGTAAAAGATAATATTTAAATGGCATTTGATAAAATATATGTTTCAAAAATGAGCTTTTAGGAGAAAACACCTATTCTATAATATTAAGTTTTACAATACTTTTCAGCAACAAGGGAGATTAGAGATCATCTAGTACAATGCCTTTGTTCTTACAGATCAGGAAAGGTAAGCACTTGTTCAAAGTTAGACTAGAACACTGTTTCCAAATTTCCTTCCAATTTCACCATGCTATTGAAATACAAAGAGTGGCATTTTGTATTTACAGCAAGGAAAATACCAACCCTGAAATCTTCTTAAATCCAAAAAGTAGTTTAGCTTAACAAGTAATAAAGGTGTATCTTGAGCACTGTGCTCCTTTAAGAACTATGTATATGGGATCAAATTGACAATAGCAACTCAAAAGATTAGATAGGAATCTTAGGGGACAGTGAGTTTATGTCAATGGGCAGGAATACTCAGAAAAGGAAGGTGAGAATGGATACATAACTCAAAGAATGTAATCAATGTCACTGAATTATACATGTAGAAATGGCTGAATTGGTGTATATTTTGCCATGTATACTCTGAACAATAATAAAATTAAAATAAATAAATAAATTATATTTCCTCAACAATGCATACCTTTTTTCCTTGTATCCCAGGTAAACCCATGTATCCTGGCTCTCCCGAGGGACCCACTGCTCCTGGTTCTCCCTAAATAATAGAAAAGTTCTATAAAAATCACAGACTTATTGCTTATGAAAAACATGATTTTTTTTTAATCTCTGCCAAACATCTCAAATTTAGAACGGATTGGTCCATGTCAAATCTGTTGAACTTTTGAGTTATTACTGCACAAAAACAAGGAATAAAATATTCACTGGAGTCCTAATACAAATTTCTTGCATTTCTTCCTATTGCTACTAGTTGAGAAATTCTGATGGTATTTCATAATTTAAAATTTTATAAATATTTTTTATTTTCATCATGTTTTATAATTTCAACAAAAAAGTAAATAAAAAATTAGTAATAAAAAATAGTAAACTCAGGAATTTCCTTTTTTTGTTGTTTACTAATTTAATAGCTCTTTTCCTCCTTGTACTGGTGGTTTGGTGGGTAAGGCATTTGGCTGCTACCAGAAGGTTGGCAGTTCAAACTCACCAGCTGCTCTATGAAAGGAAGATAAGGTAATATACTTCCATAAAAATTTACAGCCTTGGAAACCCTATAGGGAATGCTGTAAGTCAGAATCGATTCGATGGGAGCAAGTTTAGTTTTTGTTTTTTCCTCCTTGAAACTGCTTTTTCCCATTTTATTACTTTAAAGAACTTGTTTTCTTATCATAAAATTGATAAGTAAATTGAAATAATAAAAATTATGAATAATCTCATTACCCAGTTTTTATTTTTGTTATACATTTTCTCTATATATGCTCAAATACACCCACAATTTTACTTACTAAAATGTGTTTACAATATATGCATAAGTTTATAGTATGATTTTAAGCCTTCACAAATATTAATATAGTGAAGTTCTATATATTCCATTATTGTGTTTCTATGTCACTATTTTTAATTGTTGGATTTAATTAATGTATTTATTTACTATATTTTATTCCACAAAATTCCCATTGTCAAACAGAGTTTTAATAATTTTTATTTTCATAAACAGTGCTGGGATAAAGATTCTTATAGTGAAAATGTACAGACATTTATAACTTTGTATATATTGAATACCATTTTCTTAGAAGTACATTTTTGAGCTGTTTTCAGTCCAAGGAATATTCTATGAGTTATCTTAATACAATTTTCCACTCATTTCATATACTTCTCTATTATCCCATGGGAATTATTTCTTCTCTGAGATAAAGGTTTTCAAAATTTCTTAAATAAGAAAGTTCTCTAGGAGTATGTATTGATGATAACTTTGATAATATTTAGTATGTATTTGTACTAAATGGAATGTGCTGAACAAGCTTCATGCTTCTTTTTATGTCTAAAACTATTTCATATTAAAGACCATTCTTCTCTACAAAAATCAAATTTTGTTCCTTTGATCATTGTGTACACTCCTGAGCTATTAAACATTACTTAAGTTTTTAAAAGCTGGAAGAGAATTTAAAATCCCATCTAAATAAATCATCAATCATTTTGTTTGAAGGAAACTGGTAAAAGCAGCTCTGAGTCCTCACACCAAAATGAAAAGGAAAGAACTTCAATCTGCAAACAAAGGAAGAGCCTCGCTGTGAGTCAGATATTTTCTTTTCAGTTATCTAAAAGGGTTATGCCCTCCAGACAAGAGAGTACGTCCACTTTAGCATAAAACTTTCACCATTTCTAGAAAAGTCAATCCAAAGTATATTTCATTGTTTTTATTTGCCAAACAACGATAAAGTTTTCCAAAAAACTGAAATGAAACACTACAGTGGCCATTTCTTTTCATGTACCTTAATTTTTTAAGATAGGAACTCCTTAATTTCACGTTAATTTTGTCAAATAATGTAAGAAACTCATAATTAAAAAAAAAAAAATATTTACAAACTCATTAAAACAATTACCTTGAGCCCAGAAGGCCCAGTCATTCCTTGAGGTCCAGGTTCACCTTTACTTCCCTGTAAATAGGCCAAAACCATTTGATTTTTTTTAAAAAATCACAATATATTTATAGGCACTTAAAGGAATGTATTTAAAATCATTTTTGCCAGGTAATTGTACTTCAATGTTCTTTGCAACACTATTCTTATAAGCCAAAAGATAGAAATAAACTAAATACTCAATAGATTATCAATAGATTACTCAAACTATCATCAATAGATTTTTAAAAAAAACAACAAAAACACTGGTATATACCTACAATGGAATATTACTCAGCCATGAAGAGAAATGAAGTTCTGACACATACCATAACATGGATGAACCTCACAAACACAATGGTGAGTGAAATACTTCAGTCAAAAAAGGACAAATGTTGTATGTTCCCATATATATGAAACTTGTATGATAGGCAAATACATAAAGATCAGTTTTTAGGGTTTAGTAGGGACAGGAAGAAGGAGCGCTGGTGGCAAAGTGGATAAGGGATTTGGCTGCTAACCAGAATGTCAGTGGTTCAAATCCACCAGGTGCTCAGTTGAAGGAGGATGGGGCAATCTACTCCCATAAAGATTTACAGCCTCAGAAACCCAAGGGGAGTTGTTATAAGTCAAAATTGACTTGATGGCAGTGAGTTTGCTTTGGTTTTGGAGGGGCAGGAGGGAAAGGGAAAGGGAAAGTTATTGTTTAAGAAATAACTGAATTTCTATTAAGGGTGATGGAAAAAAATTGGTAAGTGACAGTAGTAGTGGTTGCACAACATGATGAACTAATTAATGTCATGGAATTGTACATGTAAAAAATGTTGAAATACCAACTGCTTTGGGTTAAACATATATTTACTTGTTTACAATTAAAAAAAATGAAGAGAAAATTTTAAAAAATCAGCATTTTCAACCTTTCAGTGGTTTATTATTTCAATTTATTAAGAATAACTCTTATAAGCAAGGAAGTGAATGCTCACATTTATAAAGCTCCCTAAAAAACATTTGTTAAATCTGGCAGCTCCACATGCAAGGGAAGAGATTCACACTCTCATGGACTAGCACTAAGTCTCCACACTAAACAAGCCAAAGCCATGGGATGAGAATCCTCATCAATGTTCTGATTCATATCTTCAATGTGCAACTGAAGGAATGAAAAGTGGTTTCAAATGTAGAGTGGCTTTTTTGAAGTAGTATGAGCAAAAAATGATTAGTTTCTGCTTCTTTTCAGGATTACAGCACAGTCCTTTCTAACAAATAGAAAGTTCAAGAACAAACCTAATGTGTTTTGATATGTGAAATCACAACACAGAAGCTGGCAAACACCCATAAACAGGTCAGTATGACCTAAAACGGGAGGGCAATGATCACTCAAGAGTCAACTTGGGTTCACTAACAAGTTTAGCAAACTAACGTCACTTTCATCTTTTCAAAAATTTTCTAGGGTACTTGAGGTGAGAAACATGTGAACATAGTATTTGAATTTAAATAAAGCATTTAACACATAACAGCATTATGGAACCATACAACA